GGCCCCCCCCCCCCTTTTGGGAGGTAAAAAAAAAGGAAAAAAAAGAAAAAAAAGAGAGAAAAATAAAAAACTGATAGCCCAGAATGCCTCAAATGTTATGTTCGTGCGTCTAGAACACAAAAATTTCGCGGGGGCATGCCCCAGACCCCTACGACAGTGTTGTCTCAATCGGCCCAACTTTCGGCCCCCCCTTTTGGACATTTCTGGATCCGCCCCTGTAGATAATGTCAATGATTAACATGATTTAACTGCAAGTCATTTTATCAGTGTCAAATACAGTTGGCATTCCACAAAAAGAGGATATAATAATATAATTTTATTGACAGAGTATTACAGTATGACAATTAATTTTAATTTCTTGTCATTAAAATTGTTATATACTTGTTAAACTTCTAATATTCTTGTATATTGTACCTTTTGCAGCTTCTTTTCTTTCCTCATGTTCCTCAGCATGTCTTTTTTGGTTGGTTTTCTTCTGGCTATTATCACTGAGCCCTAAAAGTGTCTCTATGGTTACACCTTGTTGCACTGCTAACTTCCAATCAGATAGTGTCTCTATGCTTCCATGTTCCTACAAAGTGATGTAGCCAATAAAATAATCGTGTGAATGGTGTAAATGTATTTATTTATCGAACTACGAATATGAAATTATTCGCACAATATACCATGCGAATACCTGTAGTCTCTTCCAGTATTTACTGTGATGATTTTTATTTGCATACACTGTATAGGCCTAGTCTCTAGTTGTAATAATTTATTGATACAGTACCTGTCTCTTATACACATCTAGATGTGTATAAGAGACAGTCTTATGAGGGGGCACTTATTCAAACGGGGCGCTTATTCACGCGAGTACGGTACTGTACAGTACATGCTGATGTACTTAATAAAGGCTTACACTAGAAGAATGTTATAATGAAAGACCGATAAATAATACAAACTTTATTGTCAATTATCATGGTAAATATGAACGTAAATATTAAACTTTATTTAAAAATGACACTGCCACAATAGTGGCACTCGTATGTAACAGTGATATCGTAATGAGATATCTTTGATTTCAAATTTGAATTCAATTTTCTTTTTCCTCACTTCAAAAACTTACAAGCCTGGTTCTCACGAGAGCCCCAGTATCCGGATCGGGAGCTAACTGTTAGCACCTGCGTGAGAACACGCCCGATCGGTTAGCGCTAACCATTAGCAGTATCTGGATACCGCTAACAGTTAGCAAGCGCTATCGGTTAGCAAGTTGGGCGTGTTTCTATCATTAACCAATCACACGTACGCGTTTACAATTTCCAGTTTCTTATTGGCCAGTGATTCAATCATCATATTTTTGGCATCCGGATCGGGATTTTCTCAGATGGACGCACGGCAGCTAACGGTTAGCTGGATCCGAATCCTGCTAAACATTTGCAGCCGTGTAAGAACATAGCCAGAGTGGGCTGACTTCCCCCACCCCTTGAATCTGCCCCTGACACGATATATTGCAGGAGCAAGTATACATCATCACTTTCTTGTTCTACTGATTCATCACTCAAATGAATTTACTGTACTCCTTCCTTTGATATTTGATTTTCTTCAGTCAATTTGCTTCATTCTCCACTACTTGTAGATTTATCTCCTTTATCATTTTGAACACCAACAAAACTAAACAAGAAAAATGAAATATGATATTTATTATTTGCATACAGTACAGTAATAATGGTACAGTATATGTACATTATATATTTTGTACTTTTAATTTTGGACCTTGTTTAAATGATATCTAATACAGTAAATAA